GGTCGCCAAGTGGGTCGCTGCCATATTCTCTCAAGATCAATCGTCATCGGATTTACAGGCCAAGCTGGATCAACAAACAGCAGAGCGCGTCGCCCTCCAAGATCGTTTTGATCAAGTCTCCCGTACGTTGAACGCGCAAATCCAGACCAAGGATCGCGAGGCTGCCGCGCTTCGAGATCAGATCCAGCAGAAGACGGACGAATTCAAACACGTGAAGTCGCGCTGGGAGGTCCTACGTGTCAATCTCGCCGGCGCGGCCAAGTGTGAGAAGGGATATCGCGACGCGGGCGAAGATCTGAGTACGTTTCCTTGCCCTTGACCTAGATCATACCATCTCGCTAATATAGTATTCTTTTCATTCTCGCAGAACACGATGTCACTGTAGCTCGGACTGCTTACGCCGACGCGGAACGATCGATCACAGAGCAGGAGGCCAAGACCCTGGCGCTAAACCGCCGGCTGGCCAGTCTCGATCGAGAGCGTACGGATCTGCGACGCGAACTGCGTAAGGCGCTAGAGATGTTGTCCACCGTGGACGCCGGGATGGGATCAAGCCCTCCCACTACCAAACTTTGTCTCGATAGTCCTCCCAAAGATCAATGGAAGCCAGATCAAGGGAAGCAGGATCGAGAGAGCCCGGATCAAGACAAACCGAGCCCAGAAAATGGAGATCAGGATATGTCGGATCAAGACAAGCCGAGCCAAGAAAATTCGGATCAAGACATGTCAGATCAGGGCAACTCGGAGCAAGACAAATCAGATCCTAACCAACTCGACCGTGATCCTGACTACACGCCCACACCCAACGGATTGGACGGTTCCTCGTCCAATGACAAACGTCAGGACCTTCCACCAGGCAAGCGGTCTCATGCCTTCTCCATCTCGCGATGCTGATCGTCCCTCTAAGCGAAACCCCCCGATGACCGAAGACCACAAGAAGGATCTGGACCGCGAAGAAGATCACGATGATTATGACATGGGTGGAGGTTCAGATGTTAAGGAGGCGCCGAACCCAGATCACCCTTTACTTGACAAACTTTTGGAGAAGGATCATGGAGCAGCAAGTCCTGTCCCGACCCCTGAACCACGCTATTTTTCCTATGACAAGGCCGGATCCAATAAATCTGATGTCCCCGCAAGTTCGAGTCCCGCCTCCAAGCCCAAGCCCAAGCCCAAGTCTAATCCTCGGTCGGCTAGTGATCCTAAACCCTCCAAGGACGTAGATCTAGAAGAGGAAGATCAAGGATCAGAGACCGACTCTTCTGTGGCGAAGCGGGATCTGCAAAAATCGCGTTGACGCAGGTCTCGATTCCACTAGCGCCCGAACACCGACTAACGAAGGGGTCCTCCGATGATCCGTGATTTGGTTGTGTTCTTGCTCACCTTGTGTACTCGACGGTGGGCGGGTTACGCTCTCCTGGGTGACTCGTAAGACGTCGAGCGGTAAAGATCTAGACGTGGTAGCGTGGGACTTCTTCACTCTACCTCGATTCGGTTGATCTCGGTCGTTGACGAGTTCTTGGATCGCGATCGAGCTACCTGGTTGTTGATCCAGGTCTTTAGGTTGTCCAAATACAGAGATTTTGCTCCTTCCGTGTAGATGCTTGCCACTTCCAATAGCGGGGAACTTGTTAGGTTGAGATCCGATGTAATCTTCAGGCCAAGCAATCAATGCCTTCCGATCAGTCGTTAACACTTGAGGACAAGTCACTAGGTAGGGCAAAGCTGGCCAATATATTATCCAGTCTTAACCGCTACGCTAGATCCTATGTCCTTACCGTCTACGCGCTTGAGGGGCCAAACTAATCCCCGATTCCAGGCGTAGGCGGACACTTGTGTAGCTTAGAGCAAATTCGAGTCTGTTTACTTTTATCCCTATGTCCTCTAACCCATCCTCAGCCGCTTTCCACCTGACATCTGGATACATACATTATCTTGGGATCGGCGATCGGAGATCTGAGTTCTCGATCGGGACTCGATCGGCGATCACGATCGGCTCTCGATTGGGGATGGCGCCCCGGGATCCTGAGTTATCTCCTGCCGCTGCCTCCCGACGATCTCGTCCCGCCTCCTTCTCAGGTCACCGGATCACCATCTTGCCTTGGCTTGGGATCGCCTGCACCTCGCGTATCTTGATCAGTGATTGGCGTGGCTCCAAGCGTAGCCGTTCTACCTCGATCTCTGTCCGCTGGTCCGCTATAATTCCGGATCGTCGGTCGACAGCGACTTCTGTCCACAAATTTCTTTTAACCCTGCATTCTCACGATACGATATGGATATGTCGCCATCCATCATTCCGTCGGATTGATCTTGGGTCATCTGCAGTCGATCTTGAGTCATCCGTAGTCACCATCACTCACCGATGTTGTCGCACGTCAGATCTTGGGGAGGCGACTTGATGTCTTGATCTAGAGTGGGATTTCTGTCACCTGGTCCATCTCTATATCGCGATCTGGCAGCCGAGGTTGCTTCTCTCGTGAGATTTCGATCGCAATTTACCACATCCGCCCTCAGCCTGCAAGTTGGACTGTCCTGGTTCACTTCAGGTCGCACTCCACAATTTGTCAACTCGGACGTGTTCCCCTTCACTCCTCCGCCAGCGATCTTCATGCGTCAGACCGGAAGCGACCCCGGGAGTCCCCCAATTCCGACTCCTCCCGACTCGCCACAGTCCACCGCGAGCACCCGGTCGCGGCAGTCGAACATCTCGCGCCGCTCGCGCTCCCACACCCCCGATCGGGATCGCCTCGTCCGGGATTGAGATCATCTCGATCTGCAAGTCCATCAGCTGCGATCCGACATCCGGGACATGGAAGTGTTCCAGCACGGCCAGCGAGACGAGACCATCCGCCTTGAGACCGAGACCTCGACCGTCACCCACGACGCTGGAGACGATCCTGACGGTCTCCTCGCCCAAGTTCTCCAACTTCGTATCGAGCGCAACGACTTCGAGCGTCACACGATTTCCGCCCGCGAAGATCTTCAGCACGCCGAGGCGGATCGAGATCGCCTGCACCAGGAAGCCATCCAGGCCTGCGACGAGAACCGGGACTTGCAGGAGCAGGTCCGCGTTTTGGAGCGTGCGACCGACGACACGAGATCCGAATTAGCCACCGCTCTCGCCAGCTACAACCGGATCTCTTCCCACCTCGCCCAGCCGCGACCGGATCACAGAGGGGGATCGCCCCTTGGAGGGTCTACCCGTCTGGCCCAGGCTAACCGGGATCACGCGTTGGATGATCTTGCGCTCGCCCGCGCAACCCTGACGCAGGTCACCTCCGACCGAGATCGGGCCTTCAAGCAACTCGCCCAGATTACCGAGATTTGGGATCGGGCGCTTGTCGATCGCGACACGGCCCTCCAACATCGAAATCAGGCGATTGCGAAGCGCGATCAGGTCCGCTTGGGTCTCTACACCGAGGCTGCCCGCACCGCCCAACCGGACGATAATCTTGGGGTGATTCGCCTGGAGCTTCAGGGATGGGAGGGCAGGATGGCGGATCTCCAGCTTGCCCACGACCAACTCGGCGAGTTGCGAAAGTGATCTGAATGAGGCTGATGTGCTCCTCACACATCTCGCCAGCCGGATTCGTGAGAGTCAAGCAGCTCGGATGCCGAAGCGTGAGCGAGGTCCGCCCAGTTCACCTTCCCAACTACCGCCTCTCAAGACTCCTCGCAGTGATCGGTCCACTTCTCCACTGCCCGACCAAGATCAAGCCGAGATCAAGGATCCAGAGGACGAGAGAATCAAAAAGATAAGCCCGAGATCCCAAGCGGAGGCGGTTCGGATGATGGCGACTCCTCTCCTTCCGATCATGGTCCCCCGACGCCTCCTCCGACGCCTCCCGGATCTCCCGAAGTCCAGGTGGTGGATCGCCTCTCCAACTGAATCCGCCGTTATTTCCTGCCGAGGCGACCATTCCTCGATATTCTACATTCAAGAACTTCACTGCAGCCGATATCACCCCGCGGGATCCCGCCATCGTGGGAACCGTGCCGATCATCGTCATGATCCAGGCAACTTTGACCAAAAGGTTACCGATCCCCCCGGCTTCCTGTTCCCCGTTCGGACGGCCTTTATCCGGGCGGCCATACCCGCGACCGGTTACCGTTCATGGCTGATCACTGGTGCCAATGTTTTGGCTCTGATGGCTACGGACCCGTGGCGCTTACTTCGACAGAATCGTCCCACTCCGCTGACTTTCGATCACGACCTCCACCGGCGAGCTGGGACCCCTCTATGGCGGATCGTGGTATCGTATGCTGCGCTGGAGGAGGATCACCTGATAGCGTATTGAGAATCGATCCGTTACCTCGAGATCACGAAAGCGATGGCCGCCGCGGACTCTGATTTATTCACCTACCACCCGGATCAACGTCAGCGACGCATCCGCGTTGGAGAAAGTTGGCGGAGATTGTTGGGAGAGTGCCTCCTAATGATGAGGGGTCAGTGGGCTGATATCGACATCCTGCTGGATCCCTATTTCCTCCACCGGCCGACTACCCGGGATTGGGTACGTTGGTACCCCGGATTGGTCTCCCGCGCGACCAACCTTGCGCTGCCGACGGCGAATCCCCCTCAGCCGACCGACCTGATCACGGCTCTGTTCGAGTGGATACTTGGCGAAACCATTATCGCGATCCCGGTTCCGCGCACCCATCGCTACAGATCCCTCGTCTCGCGAACAAGTTCAACCCTCCAGCGGCCCCTTGATCGTCGATCTAGCTTCAACTCGACGCGAACTTCCGTGATCCCCACTCTTATCCCGCGATCACGGTTCCTCTTTACCGTAATTCTCAATTTCAGCCACATATTTGTCTTTTTGCTCGTTTATCGTTCCTCCCAAGTGATCTCGCTTCAGACGCACCACGCCTTCCATGACCCCCTGCGATGGTCGACTTTCCAATATGCATATATACAACATGAACTTCTGATCTCAGTCTCATCCGACTACACTTCCTCGGGGTCGCGACGATCAGATAATCTCATCCCGTCCTCGTTATATCTCCTCATGTAATTGCATCACATTGAAGCGATTTCGATTAGCTCGTTCTCGGAGGAAGGCGATCAATATTGCCCCACATTTGAGATTGGCTTCGTCGACCCAGGTCAGCTCGTCATATCCTACCCAATGCACCAGGAATTTTTGGTAGATCCGACCGAATCACGTTTTCTTCCCACTCCGCACATCCGAGATACGTTCGACGTCGTACTCGTCGGCTCCGAGATCTAACCCAGCTATCCTCCGGAAGCAGGATCTCTTCGAAGTCGAGGCGATCCGATTCGTCCACCGTGAGTTCCATTCGCTGCCGATCTGGAAAGTCCTTGACCAATTTCAGCTTCGACACGTGAACTATTGGGAAGATCTGGTACCCAGTACCTGCGATCTCGAGCCGGATGCTGAATTCGTTGATCTTTTCAGCCACCCAGAATGGCCCGTGCGACAGGTGAGCCAATTTCCGCGCGTATCCTTCCTTCACCCGGTCTAGGTATAACCAGACGTTAGATCCAGCCTCGATCTTGTGCGGTCCGACGTCTTCCTTGTGTCGGCCGGCCCGATCTGCAATGGCCTCCTTCAGTATAGCGTTGACTTGCTCTCGGGACTGCTGATAATATCGCTGGACCCGATAACGCCACCGCCGTGCGTCTCGATCGCGCTGTCTAGTGCATCCGACTGACAGTGTAGCCTCCAGCGTCGATCTCGGATCCCACCCATGCACCAAATAGTGGGGGGTATCTCCTCGGATCCGATAATGAGCCGTGTTTATCGCGAAGGTGAGGCGCTCAGCATATTCGTCCCAATCCTTCTGATCGAGATCGCGAACGTACATCATGAGCGCCCTGGTCGCGGCCTGCACCATTCTCTCGGCGGTCCCGTTAGCCTGTGGACGATATGCCATCGTCGCCCGCTGCCGTTGTCCCAGAATCTTATTAAACGCCCGGAAAAAATCGGACATAAAGCCGGGTTCTCGATCATGCCGGATCATCTCACTGGCACCAAATCGGCGAAACACACATTCCTCATAGGATTCTGCCACGGTCTGAGCTGTCCTGGATCCGCTAGATCACATATCCTGTTAACAGATCGACCTAGATCAATAACTCAGTGTTTCCCTTGTGGGGTCTGGGTAGTGAAGGTATATGATCCATCGCGATGATCTGGAACGGGTACGCCCCCTGCAAGTTCCCCGGTGATTCACCTCGGATCACCGGTTTTCCCTTTCCTGTTTCGCAATCCACGCATTCCCCCACATATCGCTGAAGACTCCGATATAATCCCCTCCAGTGGAAGTGATCCCTGATCCGCTGGTAGGTATGCCCCACTCCCTGATGTCCTCCTTCCAACGTAGTGTGATAATGATGTAAGATCGATTGCAGCGTTTCGGGGACTACCAGTCTCAGCAATAGGTCGCGATCATCCCCCGATCTCGGCGTGGTAGGACAGTAAAAGAGTAGGTCCTGCTCGTCTACCTCGTAATCGGCCGCGATCTTGCGGTACGATATCGCTTCCGCATGTGTGAGATCTGCGGTCGAGCCACTCAAATACTTCTTCATGCCTGCGATCCAGACCTCCTCCTCATGGGCCTGCTTGATCCGATCGACCCGCATCTCACGGATCAGATCCTCTTGCATGACACCCGCAGAAGATCTTACTCGGGCAGCTCGAGTGGTAACCGCGGCAACCCGCACCACTGGGTTCTCGGTCCTGGGAATCAAGATTTCGTCTAACCGGTTCAAAGCGACAAGATCCTGGTACCCGGGCCCTCTCTGGACCTCGATCCCGCCTTTTCGTTGCAAAGCGGCACTTGCCAGGCTGTCGGCGCTCCCATTCCAGTCTCTCTTCACATGCACTAGTTCATGATCACTCCATTTCCTTAGGCGATCGAGGGCCTTCCGCTTCTATAGTGTCAGCCCGGGTGCCTTGCAGTCGATCTCGCTCCGTACTTCTCGAATCCCTAAGTTAGAATCACCGCAGACCACTAGGCGTTTGTGATCTAGGCCCTCTAGCATGTCGAGTCCCAGGGTTAGGCCGTTATATTCTGCTTCGTTCACGGTGAGGCTCTCGAGATAGCTCGATCTAGCTTTGCCCACCTCCCATCCTGGCAGACCCTACACGATCGCGCTGAACGCTCCTCCGCCGCGCTTAACTCGAGCGGATCCGTCAAATTTGACCACCCCTAATTCCTCGTCCCAATCTACGATGGTATCAGCGCTTGGATCCGGCGTTTAGGTTCCTTCCGGCGGGGGGCAATTTCGGTGAGAGCGCCACCCATTGTCGCCCTCGGCGTGATAATGGCAGCGACCGCCCCCAGTATCTCGTCCTTCGTGATCTCGAGCGTACACGAAGCCAGGAGGGTAGATCATTGTCCGAGCGACCCTGTAATCCCGTCGACTTGAACAGCCAGGCCAACGTGGAATGCCTCGTTAGGACCCGGATCTCGCGTCCTACTAGCAAATTGTAATAGAGATCCAAGATCCTCAGCAATGCCAACACCTCTTTTCGGTCACATTGTAATTCAATTCGTTCGTCTTCAAGGTGCGACTTGCGAGCGCCACCGGATGGTAGATCTCGTCGTGTTCTTGCGTCAACGAGGCGGATATCGCCCAATCACTGGCATATACGATAACTACCGGCGCTCTTATCTTGTCGAAGTGGCGGAGAATTGGGGTAGTCGCGATCTTGATTTTCAGGGTAGTAAAGGCCCTATGCGCCCGGATCCACCTCTCATCCAATGGTTCCACCAACTGCAGCTCCGGTAGGCTGTGATATCGGACAATCGGGTCATTCTGGTCCATGATCTTCCTCAGATCCGATCGTTTCTCCAGTTCTGCAAATTCCACCTCACGTAATTCATAGAGCACCGAAGCGTAGATAGCGTAGTCTTCAATGAATCGGCTGTGGTAATTCAAACTACCCAGGAACGACTGCATCGATCGAAGTGATCCGGGGAATGATAGGTCGGTCAATTTCAGATCTTTTGGATTCGCCTCCAGACCTCCGATCGACACTCGATGTCCCCGATATCCTACCCCAGCAGCTCCTTGTCACACTGATCGATAAATTCCACTTATCACAAGCCTCCAACAGATCTTCCACCCTTTGGCACATTTGATCCCACGACTCCACAGCGATCATGATATCGTCAATGTATGATCTCCGTCCCAACACTGACTCGCGATCAGGATCGTCCGCGATCCCTGTCTGGAATACATTCGTTGTCGCCCCGGCGTCGCCTGATCGCTAGATCGTCAAATCTCCATACAGTGCGTTGTCTACAAGGCATTGATAAATCGGCGGGGCATTCTTTAGGCCAAAAGGCATGCGGTTCCAGTCGAATAATCCAAACGGGGTGATAAATGCCGAGATCTCGCGAGCCCGATCGGTCATGGGGACGACCCAGAAGCCAATGGCCATATCCAGTGAACAATACCATAATGCCTTATCCAGATCTTCTAGCAGATCGCTGATCAGGGGCATAGGGTAGACGATCAACCTCGTGAGGCTGTTTATCAACTTGTAGTCGATGCACAACCTGATATCCACATCGTTACTCTTGCGAACAATCACGATCGGTGAGACCCATAGTGATGTCGAGGGCCGGATGATCTCAGCTGCCAGGAGGCCTTTGATCAGATCCGCGACTTTTTCTCGAAATCGCGTGGGCACCTTCCGGGTTCGCAGTGCGATCGGTTTCGCATTTCCGACATCGATGTCACACACGACACCTTTGGTCGCCGGGGGCAAGGCGTTCCCTTTTCCGATCAGGAGATGTCGCTTCTTCCAAATAATCTGCCGGAGCCTCTCGACCTCCTCGGGTGTGTCTGACCCGGAGTCTCCTACCTGCAGACCCTCGATGCTGACCTTTGCGGTCGTCGAGATCGGGATTTCGGGGAAGGCAGCAAGGTTTCCTCCAAGGTGTTCAGCCGGGAGATCACATTTTTATGGTAATATATCTCATCCTCGTCCTCGGCATTCTGTGGGGTAGGCGCTGCTGCTCCTTCCGCCGGCGGATCTCGTAGGTCGACACCCTCGGTCGGATGGATCGGAGATTTAACATCGAAGACTTTGCCGGGATCGACGGAATCGAGTTTGACCTGGGTTTGACCGTTCGGATTTTCCGTTTTTGGCTCGATATCTTAGCTCCCAGTCTGATTTTCCGTCTTGATATCCTTGGTGTCCGTCCGATCGGTGGCCTGGTTCGGCATACTCTCACTTATCCTGTCGCCCTCAGCATCGCTGCTCAGGTATCGATCAGCATCGGGGTTAGTCGTTGGCGTAGATGGGCGTCCTCTTTCCGGATCGGGGGATTCTGCCTCGATCCGAGTTGCGTCGGCCATTCCCGCCCTCGGTCGGGATTTTAGGGTCGATATCAATGTTCGATCTCTGTCAATCGTGTCGAGTCGGATCGTACCATTTGCGGATCGGATTGTAGAATTCCTCCATGGGGTTTTCTCCTGCTTCATGGACGCCCCCGCATCCACGACACGCATACAGACCGCGATCCGTAGGGCGACCTCTTTTCCCGCACTTTTCACATGTCAGGCGCTTCCAACAATCTAGATCCGTGTGTTTCATGGATCCGCAATGGGAACAGCGCTCTCGATCTTGGTAGTATCTGTCTCCGGGGCTGCGACGATCCGAGATCCGGGTTCCCTCGGACGCCTTCGTTCGGGATCGGGGTGGATCTGGGTTCTGCGAGGGCCCCAAGTACTGATCAACTTCTCCTCTGCCACAGCGAGGAAGATCCTTCGCAGGTCATCTTCCGAGTCGGATCCGTCAGATCCTGAAACCCCTTCTGACTCGGAACTCGGATCATGTGCTTTGATCGCGCGAACCGCGACACGGGCTGGCGCTGTCGGAGCGCTGGCCGGGGCCTTCTGTCGAAATTTCGATCCGAACGCGGATCTGCGTTGCCGGCTCTTGGCCCGTTCCCGCGCGCGGAGAACTTCCTCAAGTCCGTCGACGTCCGCCAATCGTAACAGTGGTAGCCGGTCTTTCTACTCGGGATCGCCCAGAGTTTCGATGTAATGATCGACGTGTTCCTGGCGCGCCTTCGGATTTCCGTCCTTGATCTTGAGTTTGGCTCGTAGAGCGACCACGTTCAGTCGATAGAGATAATCAAGGGGGTCTCTTCGGATCTATTCCGGGTATGGTAATAGTGTCATGTCACAGACATCCCTAAACCGCAGTACTAGGTCTGGAAACTTTCGAGTAAATTCACCCATTTGGTCTTGGTAGTCCGACTTAGCTGTCGGTGCCAGTTCTTGGCTGGTCCCACCATCAGATCCGCGAACGTGAGGCATTTCTCCTCTTCTGTTGCTTGATCTCGCTGGAACGCCGATTTTACCTTGCCGATCCACGCTCTAGCGCGATCTTCGTCCATATCCTTCCCTGTAAAATCTTTCAGGTCTGAGATGGCCAAAATTCGCACCCTCTGGATCAGCGATGACCTTCCAGAGCCGATCGCGGCCGAGCCGAGGTTGCCTCGATCGGAATTAAGGCCGGAGGAGCTTGGAATCCTGAGACCGTCGGGATCATACTCCCATGAGTGGGGATCCGGGGTACAGACTGATTCCATGTCGATATCCAGCGTGCCGAGTGGTGGAGGTTGGACCGTCACCAGACTTTGTTCTTTCAGGAATCGATTCATCGCCATCTGGAAGTATTCGTCCAACTTATTGCTAGATCCGGACGAATTGGTCGTCGGAGTGGCTCTTCCTGTTGGGATCTGACGTCCTTCCTTCCGATCGGGCTTCTCCGGAGTTCGACGTGGTCCTGTTGATCCAGTCTCTTCGCACGTGATCTCAGGTACTTCGCGCCCGAGGGGCCTAGTAACATACGTTGCGGAGCTCGGGGAGAATCTGAGTCCGGTTCCGAGGTAGCCGACGCGTAATGGGACGACCCGGTCTGATAGTTCTGATCAGCCATTTGTACGTATTCGCCGACCAAGATCTTTAGCGATTCGTAGAGATCTTGAATAGCCGCCTGGATCTCCCCCAGTTCCATCTCGAACAGGGCATCCGGATCGAATTCTCCCGCTACTAATCCAGCCTCCTGGAGGAGGTCCAGCAGGATCTTCATCGCATTCAGCCTATCTGTGCTGGTGTTGGGCTTGGGTATCGGGCCTGTCAGATCGCCGATCTGGCGGACCTGTATGATCGCGAGGCCAGGCTCCTGCAGCAGTGTTTCGCTCAGAATCTTCCGATGGTAAGCTTGTTCGATCATGTTTTTGGCAATGGTCGACCTCGGCTTATGCACGTCTTCCGATTCCGAATCTGGTACCTTCAGCTTCGTCCGAGTGGCCTTGATCTTCTTTTTCTTGGACGATCTTGTCGAGGCCGCCGACTTGGTGGACAGATTGGACTTAGACTTAGTCGTATCCTTGTCCGTTGTGTACGGATCTAGATTCTCCTCGAGATCCGCGGTGACCGCCGCGGCGGCCTTGAGAGAGGCTTGTCTTCAAGATCTGGGTCTTGATCAAGGTCCGCTTCGTGTCTGTCAGCCTCGCCAAACTCCGCTGATCTGTGGATCTTGCTGTATTAAGCGATGCCTCC